GTGTCGGTGGGGGCGGGAAAAAAAGAAATCTGGAGAGAAGGAAGGGAGAGATGAATAGCTGAAGATTTGGGCTCGCCTGAAGATCTATCTTTTTATTTTATTTTATTTTTTCCTCCCCCTTCTTCCCGAGCAGTTACACAAACCTTTTGGAGAACGGGGAGGGGGGACTAAAAAAAGGTGAAGCAGCGAATGAAGTCTTGCCATGTGCAGGGTTAAATGGAAACACACAATCAGACCATAACTCAGGGTGTAATTCAAGCCATACGGTTTGTCTGTCTGTTGACTCGAAAGGTTGTATCAAGGCTTGGCGAGGGAGGGGGCTGAGAGGGGATTATCCAAACTTTTTCATGATTCATAAACCACTCCTTTGCAATTTGGATAATAGAGCTCTCCCTGGCGCACGACGGCTCGCTGAACTGCAGAGTTAACCCAAGCTCGTGCTCTTTCTTTCTCTCCTTTCAGGTTGTTCATCTCCAAGGAGGAGCAACACCCAAACTGCAGGGAAATAACGTCGCGCAGAAAATTAGGAAGGCTCCTTTTTTTTTTTCCTTTGGAGAAGCTGATTTCCTTCGGCAAGTGGGGGGACGGTGGAGAAAATGAAGCCGAGTCCACGATTTTTCTTAGCTGGTTTTCTGTCTTTGATTCTGCAGACGGGGATTTGCTATGGGATAAAATGGATGTAAGTACCTGGCTGTCTCTATGCATTTTTAAAGTCTTTGTAGGCATTGCCGGTCTGTAACCCGTTTTTGCAACTGCTCTTTGAAGCACACTGTAAAGCCATTTAAAGAGCAGCAAACGCTGCGTTTCTCTGGGCATTCATTGATTTCAAGTGTGTGTACTGGGGGCTTGTGCTAACAATATGTCTCCATCTTCTTTCCAAAATATGCATGATTTAGGCTCGCTTTTTCTTCTCCTCATTGATACCAAAGGAAAGGCACACACTTGAACGCTCACATGAGCCACTTAATGAAGTTTCTAGCGTTAGCTCCTGCCACGCTGGGAAACTCTCCCGCCGGGGCGGCTGGTCGTGCTGAGTAGGAGCTGAGAGCGGTAGGGACGGCAGCTAAGAATGGGGGGGGGGGGGGGGTGGGGGGGGGAGGGGGGGGTGAAGAAATACCAGGGAGTGTGGTCAAGTCTGGATTGAGTTTCCTCGGAGGTAACGTCATGGCAAACAAAGTGAAAACATCACTATCTCATTTCTTTGCTTAAGCAAGTAATCAATTAGTTGCTTACTGCAAAATAAACAAACAAGCCCCTCCAACTCCCATCTGGTTTCACATCCTTGATGAGCGATCGGTCTTCTCTACTCGGGTTTGGAGCCGTGCACAAAATAAATAAGGGGAGGTGGGCTGGCCTCAAATGAGCATCTTCCGTAAAAGAAAAGGCACAATAAAATGCGACGCCAGGAAGGGTCTGTTGTGCAGGGTATAGTGTATGGAGGTGAGGATCTTTGGGTTAGGCGGGGAAACTGGGACAAGAGGTTCCTGGTTTGTTCCTCCTTCTGCCACCGTTGCGCTACAGCAGATTCCCATTCCACGCTCCCAGTCGTTGTCATTTGGGGCTTTCCCCATGCTAGCCTTTTATAAAGGCTCTCTTAAACTGGGGTAGCTGCAAACTAAGTTGTCTTGTTGGAGCCAGCGTTGTCGCTGCCCTGCACGCAGTCAGGGGGGAGAGGACCTTCCAGATGGAGATTCACCCTCTTCAAAGAGAGACATCCAACACAAGTGTCAAGAGATGCCCTCTGGAGTTGCAGGGAGCTGGTTGAGACCACACAGCCACCTTCTATAGAGAGAAGCAGGGTGAATCCCTCCACAGGGTTTTTAAATGCTTGTGGTGAGGCAGGAGGAGTAGTAACCCACTTCAGGGCATCTCTCACTTGCTGTCTCCATACCCTAAGGACCACCTTGGAAGTAGAGGAGAGTCAGGATCTGATTTGCTCTTCACCGTCTTGGCTTTACACCTTGTAGCAGTCACCACAGCTATATTACATAGCCCAGCTATTTCTTTCTGATGGCTTCCTCGAGTATTTGGGCTCTCAGCTCTGCATATATCCAGCACCTTGCACAAAGGCGGGCATCTCCTCTCTGCAGGACATCTAGCAACATGCCCACGGGCTGGCAGAGCCTGGACTCATTTGCAACCTTTATTTCTGTGCAGCACAGAAATAAAAAGCTGTTTTATGGCACCCTCATGCAGCAGGGCACTTACGTCCAGACCCGTAACTGAGTGGAGGGGCTTGCTTCTGTGCTTGGCATTAGGGTCCTGCCTAAGCAAGGTGCTAAATCCAGAGCGAAGGGCTTGGGTTCCTCTGAAGGGCAGGGGCGAGATGAGCTTCAGAGGGAACCTGACAGCACGTTGACAAGCCATAGACACCAAAAAAGGCTGGTCCCTAATAGCTTTGCTGGCAAAAGCAGCCTTTTGGCTGGTAAGTGGTTAAGCTGCGAGGGCTTTTGGGGATGGGGTGGAGGAGAGGTAGCTGGAGGAAAGACCAACATTGCCGCTCCTCCCCTTCCCAGCAGATGTATCCCCCCTATCGAAAAGCAAGTGGGGAAGATGAAAGCTAGGATTAAAGTGGCATTTGAAGCATGAACTGCATCCAGTCCCCTCACACCTGTTTAAAACCTGGCCGAGACCTGCACTCCCTGTCCCAGGGTGCTTCGTAACTGGGATGCTGCCAGCTGGGAAGCTGGGATTGCACAAAATTATCTTTGGGGTTCGTTGGTTTTGGTGGGTTTTGTTTTGTTTTGTTTTTTTCACTTGCAGTTTCTCTTCCCTTCCCCACCCTTGTTTTTCTACAGAAACACAGGCCTATTTTCCCACCCCATCCCCATCCCTCTTTCCCCTGCTGCAGCAGTGCTGCCATCTTTGGGGCTAGGGGACCATCTCTGGGGCTAACGGACCATCTTTGAGGCTAGGGGACCATCCCAGGAAATCATGTGGGTAAACTTTTGGCAAACAGAGATCAATGCTACCAGATACCGAGTGATACGTCGGAGCTGCAATCTCAGCCCCGGACTCACGCGCTGGGAGCTGTACCACCAAACCCTGCCCCTTCCCTCCCATGCTCCTGAATGGAGAGGGGCGGGGGGGGAACGGAGGGGATGAAGAGAGAGGAAAAGTGCTACGAGATGTTTTCAGTCGTGGGTTTGTCTCGGCGGTCTGCTCGCTGCGCTGTTGTTGTAGGCAGGGTGCCAGAGGCGAGCTTCAAAGAGGATTTTGGGAGGGGAGGGGGAAGATAAGGAGGTGGGTTTTGCCAGCCTGGCGGGCTGGGTTTGCAAGCCCAAGGAAGAGGGAGCGACTGATATGAAAGGTGATAGGAAATTCAATTTTGATTCAGCCCGTGATGTAATTGCAGGGGGAGGGGGAGAAGAAAAACACGCTTTTCAGCTGTTTAGGACTTCCCTGTAACACGAATATCCCCTGTAAATTAGTAAAAGCGGGGAGAAGGTAAAAGGGAGCTATTTTGTTTTATTTTATTTGGCTTATTTTTATGAGTTCTGTGGTCCAGATCCCCAGCTGTTGTAAATCGGCACTGTGCCCTTCCCTGCCGCAGAGGTGTGTACCGCCGAGCATCCGGCGCGGTGCGTGGACGGTCGGCATCTCGTAAACCTGCTCTTGCTGCTGGAGAAACTTCATATTTTGGCCTCTTCCATCCGAGCTGCAGGGAGTTGCTCAGGTGTAAAGTCAGATCTTTGCAGGATCAGGGCTGCGGTGGAGGGGCAGCCTTTCCATTCAGTGCATATGAGCCCCCAAGTCTCATTTTTGCACGCTGCTTTTTGCAAACGCTTTCCCATCCTTCGAGCAGGTTTGGGTTTGTTGGTTTGTTTTTTTTTTTTTGCATTGCTTTGTGGTCCTCAGTGCTTTTTGGTTTTGCACCACAGTGGCTGGGGAGGTGAGGCAGCCATCGGTTTCAATGGGAGATGTCTTAGAGCCAAGGCGTGTAGGAACTCTACCGCTGTACTCATCTCCTTTTGCACCCCTTTAGGTATCCTAGGAGGGCTTGGATTTGGCCAAGGTTGCAGAAGCAACTTGTTTGGGTAGAGCTGAAAAAAGGATGAGCACTAGAGGGAGCTGCAGCCAGATGTGCACACTGCAGGGATCTGCAGATGTTGGGATGTCCAGGCACAGACGGGCTTTTGAGGCACTTGTGCCTCTCCAGGGGTTGGCATCTCCCCTGCTCAGATGCCAAGACACAGGTTGGACTATCCCTCTGCATTGAGTGTCACCTTCAACGTGAGAGTGGTTGTAAAGAAGCCAAATGCAGCAAGTGGGGTTTTTTTGGTTTTTTTTTTGCATGGCTTGCAGGCTCAGCCCATGACAGCAAGTGGTGGCATTAGGAATCTCACCATCTCTAGGGAGAGCCTGGTTGCTTTGGGAAGTCCCTGTCTGTCCCTGTTGTGGTGGCCTGGACATGCCCCATGCCCTCTGGAGTCATCCCTAGCTGAGCACTGCTCCCAGCTACGAGGACAGCTTTGCTGCACAGTTCCCAAGGTTAAATCACAGCCCTTCAGGAGCAAAAGGTGGCTCAGCCCTGCAGTTTGGTGAACCCAGGGTGTCCCCCAGCTCACCGACCTTGAGCAGCACCGCAGCCTTTCTGCAGTCAGCAGAAAGCAGGGGAGAAAATGGAAAGATTTTGTGCTTCCTGGCAGCTCCTGCTTCTCTCCTTCAACCGGGGCAGGAGCTGGGACACCGGGGCACGGGCGCCTGCGAGGAGACCGTCTGCCTGGCATGGGGGCTGCTAGATGAGCTGCCGTGAAAGGACTGCAGGACGGGGACGGTGGGAGGGGAGCGGGCTGGGGCGAGGAAGCCAGGGTGGGGGGACAACGGCTTTGAAGTTTGCTCTTCGCTCCGTAGGCAGCTCGGGAAAACTTGACAAAGCTCCACGGCCTTCCTCGGTGCTCGGTGAGCCAACTTGCCGCTGGCATTGACTTCAGTCGAGCTCGGGCTGGAAGTCAATGGCCTTGTGCCCACTACTGCCAGCGCTGGATTTGGCACTGTATCTGAAAGCAGCTCTTATTTTAAGCTTTTACTTCAGGCAGGGTTGGTTTTTTTTCCCCCCCACTCGGCTCCCTCTTCCTCCTCTTTCTTTTTTTTTTTTTTTTTTTTTGGTGGCTTTCCCAGCGCTTGTGGTCCCCAGGCCAGGCCTGATGCAGGGCAGGGTGGCAGGGGCATGGGCTGCCTCTGACTACTACACGCTTACACAAGGTTATTGTAATTGTCCCATGAGCCTTTTCCAGTTGAAAACCTGAGAAAATGAGGCTCCTGCTGATAAAAAACCTTCAATGAGATTGAATGCAGCCCCCCCACCCCCCCTAATGCTGCCTCTCTTTATTAAAGTTCACTGCACACTTCACTCTCCACAGACGTGTAATTGAGTCTAAATCTTTTTGTTTCACCCAAATCCCGGGAAGATTAAGGGGTTTAATAATAGGCATAAACCCAAGGGTACCTTCATGGAAAGCAAAGCAGACAATTTGGGGCAGAAGTTCATGGTTTCACCAACAGTCCCTCTGTGAAACCTTCTTGGGTCATATCACACAAGGGACGATGGGGAGATGCTCTCCCGAGAGAGCCCACATCAGAAAGAGGAGGCCCTTCCATCCTTTAAGGGTGTTTTAAAGGGCGCCAATGCTGCAATTCAAGGAGTCTTTCTCCTTTGGCTTGACCAGAAGCAGTGTCCTACCCACAGTGGTCCTTGTAAACCAAATCATGTATGGCTTTCATTGATGTCTGCTCAGATCTGAAGGTACTTCTCCCAAGCTGCTGCTCCTATGAATAGTCTTCTCATGGAGCCCAGACCTGCAGGAATGGGCCCATACCTCTCAAAGGACCTAACACTGTAGAGCATTCATGTTTTCAAATGAATTTATTAACTGCCTGTGATAATTAAAAGAGTAAACGAAAGTCCTGATCCATCCATGCATCATATTTCCTCTGTAATTACGTTTATGGTTTTCTGTCAGTATCCATAACTTCAATTGAAAGCCCTGCTATGCTATATATAAAGCAGGAGATGTTTGGTTTGGGGCCTGTTTATTTAAAGGGATGGGTCAAATATGTATATGTTTTAAAGAAAAAAAAAAAACAACCACCCCTCAGTTGTCCTCAGCTTTCTGGAGAATGAAGGATGGGGCAGGAGAGAGGAGAGCATGATGATAGAGGGAGGAAACGGTGAAAAAACAGTATCTATGGGATGGTAGCAGGTAAAATCCCCACGTGCTGCTCCTTGGATGAAGGGTGTGAGTCCAAACAAAGATATTTATTGGGGATTTTTTTACTAGATTGAGGACTAAAGGTTGTTCTTCCATGAGGGCTTCTTTATTCAGGCTGGCTGCTTCCCCTCCCAGTGCTGGTGGCCAATGGAGGCTGAGTGGAGATGGGATAGAACCCCACCATCAAATCCCACCATGGACAAGACACTTCTGGGAGAAGGTGGCTTCCTTTCCACTGCCCCACAAATGGACTTTGCTCCCAAACAATGTCCTTTTCAGGCTGTGGGCATCCCTCCCTGGTGCTGCCAGAATTTGGGGAGCAGGGAGGGTTGGTGCCTTTCCACAGGGAAGGTTTAAATCAACAAGGGGTGGAGAAGACATTTCTGAATGTAGGACATAGACTGAGCAAACCTGGGCTGTCAGGGCATGGACTAGATGACCTAATAATCCTCTCACATTCCTGATCTGTGATTTATAAATGCACTTTTTGGTCTCGGCGAGTGACTCCAGTAACTGTGAGTTTTCTTTTCCATCTCCATTACCCTTTACTTTTTCCTCCCGACGCTTGGAGATGTTTCCAATTATAGGTTCTCACAAGCAAAGGCATGAAGTTTAGGCCTGGGAGATGTTCAGAAAACACCTTCCTGCATCTTGCATTTTTATTCTTGGCGGGCTCTCTGGAGCTCTGCTCATTCAACGAGGATCAACCATTGCTGCCATTTACTGCGTTCTTCCCAATGGGGCCACAGTCCTTCCTCTCTTGACCGACTGGCAGATATTTCTCCCTCTTCCACAAAATGAATTTCTTTCTTGTTGCATTATAAATCTGCTTCTCTAATGGTGATCATTTCAGGCCATGATCTGTTTGCGTTCGCATCCCCTTTTTTCACAATGGGGATGAGTTTCAGTCTGAATTCAGCTCTCATCCCAAGTTGTAGGGATTTCTGCTATTCCTGACTTGTCTGTAATGGTGAGATACAGGTGCCTCACGGTGGGCTTCCAGGTATTTTAAAGATGACAAAGACCCCTATACAGGATTAGAAAATGTGGTGCAGGACCTAGGAGATATATGCATCCTTCCGGAGGGCCAGGTGAAACATCCCAAGGCCTCAGAATTGTCACTTGGCACCTCTGATTAGAAAACTGAGCTGGTGCCCCATAATACAGAATCTCTCAGAGACCTGGAGCATTCCTCATTTGCCTGAGGCTCAGGCTGCGAAGTTCTCTCATTTCATCTGCTGCACCCTGCCTGCTTATTTTGCTGCCGGGACGTACTGTGCTGGAGGATTTATCATTTTTACTCCGTTAGTGACGAGCTGCTTTGGCCTCTTGCCTGATTTGCATTTCAGCCCATTCCTGAGAGTTGCTGATAGGCTTTCTGGGATAAATTTTCACAGGTTTCTGGTGCCAAGTGTGAGGGGTTGGACTCGTCTCACCCAGCTCTGTGCTTATACAGTCCAGATGTCTGCATCCGAGCTCCGTACCTGGGTTCCCTCTATAGCCAGTCTAGGGCATGAGTCACCCTATCCTACTGTAGATCTTAAAAGCACATCAGGCTAATTACTCCCTAGACATGGCTTTTTCTTTCCATGGGCTGAAGAAGGACCGTGAAGGACTACCATGAGGTCCACACTGTAGAGGTTTTTGCAGTCAGGTGACATTCATACTGTCCCAAGACTCATGCCTCTACCTCCAAGGACATGATATACCTGAGATACGTGAGCACCCAGAATATCACCAACAGGTTTTGTCTCCACCAGCTCAGGTCCAGCAACTTGTTCACATCTAAGGCAGGATGAATTGCCTTCTGGAGGCGCCCCTCTCCAGACAGGGAGCATCACATGAGCAACAGTGTGCAAGGGACCAAGACAAACCACAGGGCAGAATTTCTGACAACTGAATACCCCACTTTTTCCTTTCCCTTGAAATTCACTGGCCAGAACTTCTGTCTGCTGTATATTGAATGGACCTCTTCACATATATCTATGATGTCTATATTTACACAGCTAGCAGAGTGGTGGTTTCCCTTCCAATATTGCCACTGATTATCTAGTACCAGAAATGCCAAATGCCAGCAGCCTGGGAATTTGTCAGCACAGACCCACTCAGCCCTAGCAAGGATCGTAGCTTCTCCCTGCTGGAAGAGCAGTTGGGGTTAGGAGTTATGCGCAGCCCAGAGAGAGCTCCAACATACACAGCAACTGGTTCAACCCAACCTTGAGGGAGCTGGTGGAACATAGATGTGTTTTCCTGAAAACCAAGATCAGAGCTAATACCCTCGTTCTTGGTTAGGGCTCAATTTTATCTCCGTTTCCATCTCATTTAACTTCTGAAGGACGTGGATGTTACAGTAATAAAGTGAAATGCACCCAGAAATGTGTCTGCTAATAAGCCAAACGACCCAAGATGGCTTAGGATGAAACTGAAAGGGAACACATTTAACAAGGAGAGAAGGAAATATGTGTTAAGGCAGTTGTGTTGCCAGGTTCAGATGCCAGTTACTGATGCAGCCAGCTAGAAAGTTGTTTTATGGGAATGAATAACATTTATGACTGCCCTAAGCAGGTCATAAAGATACAAAGAGAGTTACACACCAGGCTTCTGCTGATCGCTGTGGGTGCTTGGGGAAGAAGCGCACAGCCCTGTATGATGCACGGCAGCATTTGCTTTCTTCTTTTTTACCTGAAAACGTTGGCAATCGAACGCTGGAGGAACCAGTGGGGTCTTTGGGGTGTTGTTGGTTTCTTCCATGGTAACATATGTGCTGGTGGATCCCTTCTCAGTGTTGACCGTGGTACTCTCTCTTGCACGTACTCTCATCGTGCTTCTGCACTACATTTTTGGTGACTAGAGAAACAGACTTATCTACGTGCAACAGCGGTGGGATTGGTGGAGGCCCTTGGCATTAACTCTAAGGGAAAGCATCTGTTTTGCAAACTTGGTGGCTTTTCCCTAGGCCTTGCAGGGGATTTTCTCCATAATTAATTACATGACATTTAGCATAATCCTTAGAGAGTGTGTGAGACAGATGCTGAATGCAAAACACTGATAACACCAACTTCACTTTTTTTTTTCCTGAATACCACAGTCTTGGAAGATCCAGCTTTCTGTTATCATGGAACTGATGGGTCATTTTTCTCTCTTTTGGGAGGTCCGTCCTCTTCATTCTTCAGCAAAAAACCTTCCCATAAGGATTACACATTCAGTTAACTTGGCGTATTCCCTGGGAGCTTTGTCCAGGCTCCCCTAGAATATGGAGAGAAATGCTCACTTCTAGAGGGTGTTTCTTCACCTTAAACACTTACTTTGCATGAGATAAATCACTTTACATAGTTGCTCATCTTTCTCACCGGCTTAAACTAAACACTTATTTACAGGTAGCTAAGATTGAGTCAGATGAACACAGGCCAAAGCATTCACTGGATAGAGAAATTAATACTGACCTGAAGATTAACTTTTTTTGTGGGTTTTAATGCCTTTTTGCATGTGCTTGCCTCCTCAGAGCTCTGTCCAAGACTCCTTCGGCTTTGGCCCTGAATCAAACCCAGCACTGCAAGCAGCTCGAAGGCTTGGTGGTTTCCCAGGTGCAGCTGTGCCGCAGCAACCTGGAGCTAATGCAGACCATCATCCAGGCGGCACGGGAAGTCATAAAGACCTGCCGTAAAACTTTCTCAGACATGCGGTGGAACTGTTCTTCCATCGAGCTGGCTCCTAACTACCTGCTGGACTTAGAGAGAGGTAAACAGCACTGCTGGCTCAGCCGGGGACATGAGTGAGTAGAGTCAGCCAGAGTGTGCGTGCTGGGGCTGGGAAGGGTCTTGCTATTGGGGGGAGGGAGGGCATGGAAAGACTACATAGCCTAGTTGTCCTCTTCTCTGAGAGCATGTTCGTCGTTATGGTGCCAGTCATGCCCAGGAGCAATCATGTCCAAGACCTGGTCTCCCACAGCTCTTACAACACATGCCACCAATCTTGTCTGCTCATCTCATTAAGAGTCATGGTGCGCTTGCTCACAGGCATGGAGCTCCTGGTCAGGGCATGAAGACTTGTCAAGCAGCACACGCTACGTGTGAGGCTGCACAGTCAGCTTTCAGGGGTCAGAGCATCCTTGCACGCTCATGTTGCAGCTCTCTGGCTTCCCACCACCTCCCCCAGCTCCTTGCATGCCAGCTCCATGACCTGCTGGCAAGCAGCATGCATCACAGGGGCAAAAGGAGGCAGGAGAGTCCATGGGGGGGCTTCATGAGCTCCAAGAGCAGATCACACCATGATAGGCAAGTTGCATAAGTCCATGCACCTCCTAGCCCCACTGGGATGTTGCCTCATGTTGAAGAGCTCACTTAGGAGATGTGCTCCAAGCTGGTGATGCCATGGGAGGTCTCAGTTCTAATGAGTTGGTGTGTTTGCTGCTCTGTGGGGCACAGGTTGTGTGGGTCTCTTCTTGGGGAATGGTTAGCTGTCCCAGGAGGCTGAGCTGGAGTTCTTGTCTCTTCCAGGCACAAGGGAGTCAGCATTTGTGTATGCCCTTTCTGCTGCTGCCATCAGCCACACCATTGCCAGAGCCTGCACCACCGGGGACCTCCCTGGCTGTTCCTGTGGTCCCATCCCAGGTGAGACACCTGGACCTGGGTATCGATGGGGAGGATGTGCAGACAACCTCAACTATGGTCTTATCATGGGGTCCAAATTTTCAGATGCTCCCATGAAGATGAAAAAATCAGGATCACAAGCCAATAAACTGATGCATCTGCACAACAGTGAAGTAGGGAGACAGGTAACAAATCCACGAGAGTTATTGTAATTGTACAATCATCTGCAGTGGTCGGTCGCTCTGTGAGGTTCAGTGTCTCTGTCAGCTAGTGAAACGAGCAGGTTTCTCCCGGATTGCTCTGAACTCCTTTGGCCTGCTGAAGGCTGGTGGCTGTATAACTCACGCTGGGACTCAGGAGGTCCTGAATGCTCTTATCAGCCCTATCTAACCCGGGGTGGGATGTCTCATTGCCACTCTTGCCACAGCCAGGGATGGCTCTGGCTTGCTTACCCCAGGAGGTGTGGAGGGGATGGGTCCCCTCGTGCTCTGCCAAGGGCGTTGCACAGGCGAAGCGCTGTGTGAGCCGTGTAAGGATTATCATCTGCCGGAGGCATCCAGCAGCAGCTGCCTCCCAGCCACCCCTGAAGCCAGGAGGGCTGATTCTTCCTCTTCAAACTGCTTCGCTAGTGATTAATCCCATATCTGGCAGAAGCCGCTTTTAACAACTTGCATCCAGTGGAGGGAAAACGCTTACCATGCGCAGAGCTTGGTGTGCACCAAGGTGCGAATCCCCATCGCAGCCCTCCATGCAGCTGGAGAAATGGGTGGGGGACTGTAAAGCTGACCCCTGCGCCCATCTCTGGGATGGGTGGGGACCCTAGGCCGGTCCTACCACACAGCTTTAGTCCTTCCAGGGCTGCCTGTGCATGGGTGCTGGAGCAGATAAAACGGCAGAGCTTGCTGAGCTGGTGGGCAGCTGACTGTGTAGGTACAGGCTGAACTCACCTTTGCAGAGCACAACCATGCCGAACTTGCCTTCCCTGGGTGTTTTTCTCTCCCATTCCCACTCTATCTGGTTTTTGGGTTTGGGTTTGGTTTTTTTTTTTTAATTTTCGTAATGTCTTGAGTTTTTGTTTTAATTGCAATGGGCAGATTTTTGTTTGGGACATAGTGTTGCCACGGCTGGTGCATTCATCCCTTCCTGGCAGCGTCCCTCCATGTCCTACAGAAATTAGACTAGTGCAGAACCCAAGTAAAAGGCTCTTGTGGCCTCATGGCCAGCGGAAAGGCAGGGTGAGGGTGCCCTGCGTTCGTCAGAGCCTTGACATCTCTGTTACCCAAAGCCCAAAGCTGTTGGAGGCAGAAATGGATGTTAACTTTCTATTTATGGATGGCTTTGGTTTTCAGCTCCTTAGGAATTTAGCGGGTGGAAATGCAGCCCTGTGTAGCTAACTGATCGAAATTCAAAATACTCTTCTGTCTGCTGGCTGCGAAGGTGCCTTGGTGAAAGTAGTCCTGGGCTGACGGTGATCGCCAAGGAGCTGTGGGATCTCATTCCCTTTGCACAGTAGCTACTCTAGAGCGACTGTGCAGAAATCAGAGCAGCAGTCCTTTTCTATAGCGGTCCCTGCTAAGAAAGGGCCTTCTTTAGCAAGCTTGTGGGATGTTTGGAGGTAAGAGAAGGGCATTTCCTAACCCCTGCATTCCTTTTTGCAGGTCTTGAAAGCCTCTCTTGAAATGAAATGTAAGTGCCATGGAGTTTCTGGGTCATGCTCTATCAAGACCTGTTGGAAAGGCCTTCAAGAGCTGCGAGACATTGCATTGGACCTCAAAAACAAGTATTTATCAGCCACCAAGGTCGTTCACCGGCCCATGGGCACACGCAAATACCTTGTGCCAAAGGATATTGATATCAGGCCAGTTAAAGAGACAGAGCTGATTTACCTGCAGAGCTCGCCCGATTTCTGCATGAAGAACGAGAAAGTGGGGTCACACGGGACCCAGGACAGGTGAGGGTTTCTGCAGTGGGTGCTGATTGCACTTGGAGCCCCGAGGAGGGAAGGGGAAGAGGGGAACATGTGTGAATAAGAGGCAAATAATTGGTGAGGTAGCACATGCATGCAGGTGAAGGAGATCTCTAATGTACGGTATGGGCTGCAGATGCCCAAGCCTATTAGTGGTGGCTGTGGCCAAGACAAGGCTGCAGACACCTTTTGCATTATACAGGCAGGTACAAGATACCCTTTGAAATCCCCTAAGTGGATCACCTCTGCAGGAGCTTGCAATGGTCACGCAGCTGTTTTTTACTGTGTTGAGTCTCTAGAAGTAATTTCTTGCAGTCATCGCTGATGCGATGAGCTGTCACTCTAAGGCTCCTTTAAGTAGGCAAGTGTTAACCCAATTAGGACCAGTGCTCCCAGGAAGCCTTACAAAAGCCCTGTAAACACCAAAGGTGAATTTTTAGGGTTTTTCTCCCACGGCATTTTAAAAATCCAAGTGTGTTTGTATTGCTCATGTCTCTGCAGAGGAATTTCTTCATCACACTAATATTTGTGATTTAAGGTCATCATACCCAAACCTCCACTGGGCACAGTGCTGTCCCTTTCACAGGCAGCAGACATGCCTGTCTCTTCCCAGGATCTGTTTAATTCCCTCCAAGACAAACCAATTCCACGCTGCAGCAGTCTGAGCATCTCTAGGTGGGTAGCAGACCCTTCGACAACCAAATAATTGTGTATTGCCAGAATTTTGCAGAATTTTCAAATTTATTTTTTTTTTGTTAGCTGGCTACCATGGCTGGATTTCAAGCTGTCTTATTAGTTGCTATCTGCTGGCTTGGTTGTCTTCAGATAGTTCTCATAATTCTTCTTTGCTCTTTGTGTTACTTCATGGTGGAGACTCGGGCAGTCAAGTTGCAAGATGAATGCACCTGCCCTTTTGTGGGGTATCTTCAAGGCTGCACCTCGAATACTGTGTTCAGTTTTGGGCCCCTCACTACAAGAAAGACGTTGCGTTGCTGGAACATGTCCAGAGGGAGAGTAACAAAGCTGGGGAGGGGTCTGGAGCACAAGTCATACGAGGAGCGGCTGAGGGAACTGGGGTTATTTAGTCTGGAGAAGAGGAGGCTGAGGGGAGCCCTTATTGCCCTCTACAGCTACTTGAAAGGAGGGTGTAGTGTGGTGGGTGTTGGTCTCTGCTCCCAGGGAATGGGTGATAGGACCAGGGGAAACGGCCTGAAGATGTGTCAGGGAGGTTTGGATTGGACATTAGGAAAAATTTTTTCAATGAACATGTTGTCAAGCACTGGAAGGGGCTGCCCAGGGAAGGGGTCGAGTCTCCACCCCTGGGGGTATTTAAGAGCCGGGCAGACGAGGTGCTTACGTTAGTGGTGGGATGGCAGGGTTAGGGGAACAGATGGGCTTGATGATCTTAAAGGTCTTTCCCAACCTAAATGATTCTGTGATTCTATGATTCTGTCTTCATTTTAACTCTTGTTGGATGTAGTGGTCTTTCCATTGTGTGTTGAGAAGTTCAATGGAGTGAAGGTTTTACTGTGACAGAAAAATGAAGTAAATTACCCAAATGCAGAAAAGTTACATCCTCTTTGGATACCTTTGATTCATATGAAGTGTTTCGTGAGGGGACTTCGGAAGACGTCTTTGGCAATGGCCATTTAATCTGTAACCACAAGTCTGTAGACAATATATCAGCATTTAACTGGTGGAGCTGATCAGGAGATGACAACAATTGAGTGAGACAAGTGTGTCCTTTTTGTCCTCTGATTTTTTGTGGCAGTTACAGTTTTGTGTCCTCCATTAGGACCAAAACCAATGGTTGGACTGCTCTACAACAGTGTTTATCTAGCAGCTCTGTGATGGGACCACCAGGCTGATGATCATTGCCAGCCCAGAGGTGGACCAGTAATTAGACAGTGAAGATGTTTAAGGGTCACTGGATTGTAGGGAATAAGCATGCGTTGAAACTGATTCCTGGGGAAAAATGTCATTTGAGTGGAAGAGATGTTTTTGTGGACTTGTATGGATTTTGACGCATTTGTGTCTTGAAACAGACCTCTTTGTTGTGTCATTCTGGTTTGCACTGAAAAAATTGTGGAGGTTATTTGGAAATTAGTTTTGTAGGAATTGTGTGAAATCAACAGGTCATGTCAAAACCAAACTGCATCCATTACAGATTTGCCAAGTAAAACATTTTCCGTGCGCTGAGATCCTTTTAAGGGGGAGGGAGGCATACTTCTTCATCTAATTTCATTTTAGAGCAGATTTTGCCTTTTTAGCCCAGCTTAAGGATGAAAAATATGTCAGGGTCTTAAATGATTTCTTTTTTTCTTCCGAGGATAGGAAAATGTGTGTTGCAGGCGTCCGTTTATCCCGAGCTGGGCGACAGCAGCGATTGTGAGCCTGCCAGGCGAGGGTCCATGGGAAGTGAGATTGAGTGAGGATTTAGAGGACCGAGATATTAAGGCAGGACGGGATGACTTTCAAAAGGAACCTGTCAAGAAATACTCCTTATTCTGGGATGTGCAAGGCGGTGTTGGCTGTGGGAGGGGAGGAGGGCGAGATAGTCCCGTGTTGAGCTGCAGGCATCTCTCAGGCCAAGTTTTAAGGTCATGTGTAGTTACACTCATTTTCATCGCAATCCATCTGCCAGTTCGTGAGAAGATGTTTGGTGTCTCAAAACTGACAAGTGTAACACAAGCCACAGCAGCTCCTTTTCTGCATTAAATTAGCAGAGGAAATAAGTGTAAAATGCACAAAACATGTTTGCAGATCGGTCCATGCTTTTTTCCCCTTCTCAATCTTTCTCTCACGGAGAGGACATCTAAATGTATTTTAAGCATGGTGGCTCTGTTCCAGCCGGCCGCGGGGCTGCAGAGATAGCGGCTAATGACAGGGATGGGGGAGAAGGAACACAAAAGGGATGCTGTCAGAGAGGGCAGGGAAAAATGTGGTTTGTGCTTACTCCTCAAAGATGTAAAAACACTCGCATGGAAATAGCCCAAACAGGTTTTTATTTTATAAGCCACATCCCGGAGGCATCTTAACATTTTATCCTTATGCACATCAAGATTTTCCTGGGGGGCCATCCCACTGTTTCCTACTAGGCTAATTTTTAAGGTCTTTTATGGCAAATGCAATCAAAAAGGGATTTTTCGTGGTGGTCCCTCAATTCATTTTTTTCTCTTCTCTTCTTCCACCACCTGCCTCTTCCCTCTTTGGCTTTTTTCTGGCCATGAACACGGGTACAGGGAGCAGCCCACAGGATGTTACAGTGCAGACCCCTCTCACCACACTCCAAATCTGGGCAGCTTCAGCAGCTTTCCAGCCCCACTTTCTCCCTCCAAAAAGGTGCAGAGAGGAGGGCACCCCCTTAACAACCCCTTTTCCTGTTTCCTGGCTTAAAAAAATTCAGATTACTGCAGTTTCATTACAAAAAATGAGTAGTTTTGCATCATATTGGAGAAAAAGTCCTCTCCCCACTCCGGCTCCTCCAGGTCCACTGCTCACTAAGAGCCCCCTGGAAGCAGGACAGAGGTTGATGGCTCAGTTGCAACACCTTGGATGTATTTGGTTTCAATGCATGCCGTAGGGAACAATCCTGCACCGGCAGGTGGGTAGAAGGGATAATCTAATCGGTGGCTTCCATCTCTCTAATTATCCCTTGCATTATGTGAATTTATTGTGTGTTTTTCGGGCAGGAAAGGGACTTGAATTACCTTGTAGTGGAACCGCGTGAAAATCCACTCGGAAAACACACACTCGGTTACTCAAAAGCCTTTCAGAGCTCTTTGCTGAAAGGATTTCAAAGCCTTCTTTGGAACAAGCCTGAGATGTTTTCTAAGACACCTCGGCCTTTCTTAGTTTGTTGAAATTAGAAATGATTTGGAAATCTGCATGCCTCCAAGCGCTTGGGGTGTATCCAGGTTTCAAAGTCAGGGAGCTGAACCCAAACCTGAGATTTGAAGCCTCTTGAAGGGCTCAAAATCTGATTAAGGAGCTGAGTTTTGCAAATGGTGTCCAAGGCTCCTGCAAACAGCCTGGCTGCAACCGCAGCCCTCACCGACTCCAGCCAAACTCCATGTGCTTATACGCCGCTTTCATAGCCGATAAAAAGTGGTCTGGAGAAAAATCTAAAGGAGCTGATCTGTGGAGCAGCAAGTGGGTTGTACAACTTTCAATACAACAAATTAACCAGTGGGAAAAAAAATGTGTATGTTCCCATTTCAGAGCTTTCTTGGACAAAAGCACCCTATAGCTCATCTTGTAACAAGGTAGTTCAGTTTCTCCTGCTGGAAAAAGTCGTATTCAGCTCTGAGTAAATGATAAATAATAGCAGATTATAAAATTGAGATCTCTTTTGTGAGAAAAGAAGCAAAAGTATTAACCTTCTTTATCAGTAGGGTGCAATGTATCATATTTCAAAGGCTGCTTAAGGTCCCTTAAGGAATCCAAGGAAAGGGAAATTCTGCCACGCATGCAAAAGCCTACAGCCCCTGAAGCCTTGCAGAGATAACTGAGCTGTTTATTGCTGATCTTTCCCAGAGCAGCCTTGGAGCCAAGCGAACGCTGCTTCCTCCCTGCTGAAGATGGGAAGGAGCAATCTTACGCTGCAGAGATCGGGCTGCAACCTTGCGCGGCAGCTAAGCTGGGCTGATCAGCCACCGCTCCTTAGCTGACTCACTTCGGCAATGAACGTGGCCTTTCTTTGGTGGTTGCTCCTTGCCCACGTAGTCATTCTTTTCTGCAATATAAAATATTAGCCTCAAGTGTCTCCCAAGTTATCTTAGGCTGGTGTGTTTTCTTGGATAGGAACATGCATGAGGTTGGCTCAGCACGCGTTTGCTGCTCGGTGGTGACTGTAAAGACTCAGTTGCTGGCAGTTACCTCTTTGGCATCTTGGCCATCCCAACAGCAGAGCTGATCAAATGCTGCAAAGAACGGATGCAGTGGTTTCCAGTGCTCAATGGCGCCACTTGTTTCCTGCCACCCCG